GGAAACGGTATGGTCTTAGACTGCACCAGCTGCTTCTGAATGTTAATTGTTTAATTAGATCACAATGTTACTCACCACTGAAAAGCAGAATAAAATATAGTGGAATATGTGTCATGTACACTTTGCACAGTACATTTCTGGAAATGTTTAAAAAATGGAGCTACCCCTGATGTAATGTATACAGCATATTGGAGCAAGTTCCTCACTTTTTTATGTGGGTCAAAATTCTACACAAACTCATCTGACAACAATCTATGTTTAATACAAGCCATTCCTTTGTCTAGCTTCCTACACATGGCTTGGTTGCAAGCAAAATAAATCATTCTGAGGTCTTGCATTGACATGATCTTTTCAATACTTAACCATAGCACTCCACCCATACTGCATAGCATAAAGATATGAAAATAAAGTCTCAATATAGATATATATTCAGATGTTTACAGTTGAAGAATGTTTAGGAATTAACTCCCTTATCTATCAAATCTTAAGCAATACATGGAAAAGGGGATCAGGCTCCTCTTGAGAGCTCATCTGTACATGATTGAATAGCTACACCAATGGACTAATATAGTCATTCCAAAAAAATGGATATCTGGAAAAGAAAGAGAAATAGCAGCTCTAAAAAAAGGAGATTATTGATATATCCCTCCATTAATTTTCAATGCCAGTATATGTTCTGCTCTAGACTTGGTGGATTCTATATATAAAAAGTCCCATCGAAACATGACCTTGGTACGGTGGCTACTCTAGGACCAATACATAGAGGGGAACATAGGATATCACAGTTGGTGAGGAGGGGGTGGGGGGTGCTAATGATTTCTACCTCTAAATCATACCACTGGAAAAAACTAAAATAAATATACTCAAAGAGTGCCATTGTTTGACAAAGTTCCAAACAATGGTGAACTCTTCTCTCTTGCAGCTACAACTTTAATTGTTTTGTTTTGACATGGTATTTTTTTTATAACATTCATTTTGCATTATAAATATTCACAATGCTCTTACAACAGATTTATTAAATACACTTTAGTTAATTTAGCACTTGCACTATTTAATTTGTCACCCACGTTAAAATTAGTATAGGACCCACTAACTGTGGCATAGTGGTCGGCTTAACACAATATGGCCATACGGTGGAACTGAATCCCCATGTTTCTTTGCTGTAAAATTTAAAACTGTATTTTTTTGTGTGTACTGTTACTTAATCTGCATTTTGTAACAGAAAAATACACACTGCCTAACACATGCATACACGGACACTGCCTAAAGTATGAAATAAAACAGAGAATACAGTTTGCACCAAGATAACAGATTGAAAATGGATAAAGCCCTAAAGGGTGAAACGTATTGTGGTTTGTACTACTCTTTGTTAAATAAAAGTATTTTTGGCTACTTTACAGATTTGAGTTAGCCTTTATACTTTTTTAATGTTTTTTACCTTGAACTAATTTTAATTATCTGAAGCACCAGCACCACCATCATCCAAAGAATCCTTGGTGGAGATTGTTCCACCCATGCCTGATACACAGAGTGGTTAGTCTTCTCTTTTCACTGTAAGTATATTTCTTTCCTTTTTATTTATACTTACCTGTATAGAGAGCACTATTGGCTGCCTTTTTTTTTATTTCATATGACCCACACCACCACTATCAAGCTGTGAAATTACCATCAGAGGGATATCCTTCAAATGGAAACTTTATGCTACTTTATGCTGTTTTACCTAGAGCTGTTCAGAGCTCTATGCGATGTGAGTTGACATTTTTATGTTTCAGTGTTGTCTGTAGCCCATCACATTTGCCATATTGCACTATTGGTTTCCTCAGTCTTCTGTTTTTTTCATACACTGATATTGATTGGAACTTTCTCAAGAGCTTCATAGGAACTATCTGAAGATATACTGTGTTTCTAGGACTGTTTTTAATTTTGGTATTTCATTGCACTATTTTGCTTATCGTTTTTTTATGTGGTATCTTCTGTATACCACCCTTCTCTTTTGTACATTTAGAAGCTATTTGCATTTTAAATTTGATATGTTGACGCAACCTGTATTCTCTGTTTTGTTTCCTACGTTTTTTAGGGGTTAGAGGGATACCCTTACTTTCAGGAGTGCTGCCTCCTACACGTTTTTTTGGATAGTTGTTTAGCGCTGTTCCATCTTCTTTGTTTCGTATTTACTACCTAATGTATAAATACACACAAAATGCCTAATACATGCATACACACACACACTGTGTCAAATACATACACATATACTGTTTAATACATACATACACAGACACTGCCTAATACAAACACACACACTGCCAAATACATACATAAACACACACTGCCTGATATATACATACACACACTGCCTAATACATACACATATACTGTTTAATAACTACATACATACATACATACATACACAGACACTGCCTAAAACATACACATTACCTAATACATACATACACAGACAATGCCCAACACGTACATACCCTGCCTAATACATACAGTACACACACACACTGCCTGATACATATGCAGAGTTCCTGATATATACATACAGAGACAATGCCTAATACGTACATACCCTGCCTAATACGTACAATGCACACACATATTGCCTGATACATATGCACAGAGTGCCTAATATATACACACACAGACACTGACTTATTACATACAGACACTGCCAACTACATGCACAAATTCACACACAGACTTTCAATGCATATACATACATGCACTGCTAAATACATACATACATACATAAAAACACATACACACAGCAAGCAGCCCTGGAGGCACTGGAGGTAGCACATTTTTTGCAGTGGTACCTCCTCTCTCTCAGGGCAGGGGGAAGCAGCACTTGAATACTGCACCCTTGCGCTGCCCTGCTCTTCTGGGACATAATGGGTGGGAGGTCAGCAATGTAATTGCTGCTCCCACTTGAGGTGCATTGGGTGCTGCTCCCCGCCTACGCTACTAATACCAGGAAGACCCTAAACTTGAACTTCTATGACCTCTCCTGAGCTAGGCCCTGCAGTGCTGATTGCTCTCAGCCACTGAGCTAAGCCATGCAGTGCTTATTGCTCTCAACCACTGAGCTAGACCCTGCAGTGCTGATTGCTCTCAGTCAATGAGTTAATACCTGCAGTGCTGATTGCTCTCAGCCACTGAGCTAGACCCTGCAGTCCTGGTTGCTCTCAGCCACTGAGCTAAGACCTGCAGTGCTGATTGCTCTCAGTCAATGAGTTAAGACCTGCAGTTCTGATTGCTCTCAGCCAATGAGCTAAGCCCTGCATACAGAGAACTAACACTCTCCAGCACTTGTAGCGTAGGTGGATAGCAGCGCCCAGCGGACCCAAGGTAAGAAGACAAACTGCTTAAAAATGGTTTGACTACTTTCAATGGGAGGGTGTCAGAGCACTCCTTACATCATAACCACTACAGTGAGCCATAATGGTTATGGTGCTTGGAGTGTACCTTTAATTGTGTTTGTCAAAGAAGGATTTATTAGCAGCCTCTGTCCTGTAGCAGTCAACAATTCTTATAATGTTTGCCTAATCTATCTATCTATCTATCTATCGAGCTGGCTAGATAGATAGATAGATAGATATGTGTATATACAGACAGAGACAGACAGATAGATAGATAGATAGATAGATAGATAGATAGATAGATAGATAGATAGATAGATCTGTATTTCTTTTTCCTTTACACACAAGCAGTATTTCTATTTCTCTCTCTCTTGTCTGGGCCCTCGTTCTCTCTCAGATATATCAACCCACAGTCCTTTTGCAGGTAAGTGCCCAGCAGGTAACTAGGTATGGAAGCAGTCTGGTAAGCCAACTCTGCTCTGTACATGATAGCAGTAGAGACTGGCACAGCTCAACCATTGTCAGGCAGCATACTTCTCTAAAACCACTGGAGTTTAAATTCATTAAATGCCATTTAGTGGTTAATGCTGTGGGAACCCTGAGCACACAATGTGTCAGTCATCACATTCCTAATATTTTTCATAAAGCATGATTTATTGAATTCCAAATAGGCGATAATGGGAATACAAAAAAAAAAATATTCTCCAAGTGTGTAGGGATATATCATGGGGGGATTTTTTTCAGCAAAACTGCAAATGTATAAACAGCACAGGGCATAGATCATTGAGGTTTTAATATATATAAATATGATGTGTATACAGAAAGTGTACATGGAGAAAATGCAAGGTAGATAGGTAGGTAAGTAGAAAAAGAGATGGTGGAAGTGGGGGAGGGAGAGAGAGACATTGAATGAAAGATGAATGTTGGAAAGGATAGAGAGAAAGCAGTGAGGGGGGTTAAGAAGACAGAGAGCTGAAATAGAAGGAGTTATGGTGAGTGACAGAGAGAGATTGAGAGTTTGAACAAGAGAAATTGAAAAAGAGAGAATAAGAGAGAGAGGGAGACTGAGAGGCGGAGAGCTCAACAAACTGATAGAGAGAGATTAACAGGGTTAACCACTAAAGTGAGAATTTTAAGCGACATTCACATTTAAGGCCAAAATAGTTGAATTGGAAAAATTAAGTCAGTTTGACTACTTTCGTCTGAAATTTGAAATTGTATTTGGGTGGAGCTAGCGGCCATACTGAGAGGACACACATTCCTCGAGCTCTGATCGAAACTCTACTAAATAAGCCTAAAAACAGATAAATATCTACCCTAATATCACTCATTGCAGCTGACTGCTCTCCTGAGGGCATGGGGCGCCAAAGCAAAAAGTATAAGCCGGATACCACAAATATCGGATATCACCTTTGGAGGCCTCAAAACTCCCAAAGGCCCGCAATGGTGTCACAGATTGAAGGTCTGTACCACTCGTCCAGCAAGGCATCTGTGTCTGAGGAGAGTGACTATGGTGTCCAGGCACCGAGCCGACCGACCCACTCACCTGCAAAGCCCGTTTAGAGATCTCCAATCACGGAGGTGAAGCTGAGGTACATGCTCGGTGAACTACGTTGCAATATTGCAGCTGACATCGGTATGTTCCGTGAGGAGATCAGTGGAGTATCGGCTCACCTGCAAAATACAGAGCTTAAAACTGCCGCACAGGAGACCCGACTTGCGACAGTGGAGCAGCAACTTCTGATCCTGCAAAAGGCACAAATACAAAACCAAGACAGCTTGGCAGCTCTTGAAGATAAAAGGCGCTGGAATAACATTAAGGTTCATAGTCTGCTTGACACTATTGAGACTGCTGAGCTATAACACCTGTTCCGCAGACTATTCAACATGCACTTTAAAGCCAGACAAACCAAATAAATGCCACTGGATTGCTGATATAGGGTTCCTAGACCACCGACAAATACCCCAGGGGTGGGGAGAGACATAATCATCCGCTTCCAGCAAAGCTGAGATCACTCGGCCTTCATAACGGCCACGTGCAACAAGTCTCAATTACACTTTGAAGGCTATTCCTTGACCTTCTACCCTGATCAGTCCAAGGCCACCATGGACTGGCGACAATCTCTGCGACCCATGACTAAAGAACTTCTGGTATACAATATACCCTACCGATGGGGCATGCACAGGACCTTGATGATATCCCAGGGACACTGGTACTCTGGGAAGCCATAAACTTTCCTAAAGAGATGGGTTTTGAGGCAATTTTTAAAAGATTAAAGACTAGGGGAGAGCTTGATGGTCATAGGCAGTCTATTCCAAAGGAAAGGAGCCACCCACAAGAAGTCATGCAAACGTGAGTTGGCCGAACGGGTGCGAGCAGCGGGCAGGAGAAGGTCATGGGCAGAGCAGAGAGACCGAGAAGGGGCATACCTGTGGATCAGTGAAGAGATATAGGAGGGGCTAGAATTGGTCAGTGCTATATAGGTGTGGATTAGTACCTTGAATTGACTCCTATAGAGTACAGGAAGCCAATGTAAGGACTGACAGAGGGGAGATGTATGAGAGGAGCGACAGGAGAGAAAATTCAGTCTAGCTGAAGCATTCATTACAGACTGTAGCGGGGCAATACGACTTATGGGCAGACCTATTAGGAGAGAGTTACAATAATCCATGTGAGAGATTACTAGAGCATGGACAAGCTCCTTAGTAGCATATTGTGTAAGAAAGGGGTGGATGCAGGCTATGTTTTTAAGGAGGAATCTACAGGATTTGGTAACAGACTGGTGTAAGGCTCAAATGTGAGGCCAGAATTAAGTATAACGCCAAGACAGCATGCTTGCAAGGATGGACTGACGTGGGTACCACTAACTTGAAGGGAGAGCAAAAGAGGAAGATCAGTATTAGGAGGAGGAAAGACAAGGAGTTCAGTTTTACAGAGACTGAGTTTCAAAAATTGGGAGGACATCCAGTCAGATACAGAAGAAAGGCTAGCAGTGACACATTGCAGGACAGCAGGGGAGGGGTCCGGGGAAGAGAGGTATATCTGAGTGTCATCAGCATACAGGTGGTATTGGAATCCAATTGAGGTAATACGGTTGCCAAAAGAGGCAGTATATAGAGAAAATAGAAGGGGACCAAGTACAGAGACTTGGGGGACTCCAACAGAGACAGGACGAAGGGAAGAGGTATCATTAGAAAAGGAGACACTGAATGGGCGTTGGGAGAGATAGGAGGAAAACCAAGAGAGGACAATGTCACAGAGACCGAGTGATTGAAGAGTTTGGAGAAGGAGAACATGGTCAAAAGTGTCAAAGGCAGCAGAGAGGTCAAGAAGGATTAGTATGGAGTAGTGTCCTTTGAATTTAGCTGTGATTAGGTTGTTAGTGACTTTAATAAGAGAAGTCTCAGTAGAGTGGAGGGGGCGGAAGCCAGACTGAAAAGGGTCAAGGAGAGAGTTGGAATTGAGGAAACAAGTCAGATGGGTAAAGTCAAGTCTTTCCAGAAGCTTTGAGGAAAAAGGGAGCAGGGATATGGGACGATAGTTAGAAGGGGAGGACGGGTCAAGAGATATTTTTTAAAGATAGCTTGTTTAAGGGCAGCATGGACAACACCAGAAGAGAGAGAGCAGTTGAAGATGTGTGTTAAGGAAGGAACAAGACAAGAGGAGAGAGATCTGATAAGGTGAGACTGGACAGGATCAAGCGGGAAAGTGGTGGGGCAAGAGGAAAGGAGAAGTGCAGCCACCTCTTGTTTAGTAGCCCGGGAGAAAGTCTGAAGGGTAGGAAAGGCATGATACAGGTGTGGTTGAGAAAGAGAGGGGCAAGGTGGTGAGAATTATTTTCTTAGCTGTTCAATCTGGTCGGTAAACTAGCATGCAAAGCTATCAGCTGTTAGTTTGGGGGTGACCACAGAAGGACAAAGAAGGGAGTTAAAAGTATTAAAAAGACGCCTGGGATTGCGGGACCACGAGCTAATGAGGGAGGAAAAGTATGACTGGCATGGACAAGTGCTGTGCTGTATGAACGCAACATGAATATGTAGTGGGGGAAGTCTGACTGAGTGCGTGACTTCCTCCAGCAATGTCCAGCAGAATAGGAGCATCTCTGCAGGTAGTATGTTAATTTAGTGTGCCATGGTTGGGGGCTTGATCACCTCAAGGTGCATGTTTGGAGCGGGGCTGCAGCATCCAGGTCAGAGGTGAGGGTAGTGTTATATGAGGAGATAGCCAGTGAGGGACAGGAGAAAGTAGGGATGGATAGAAGTTGGGAATCAATATTAGCTGATAGCTACTGGAGGTCAATATAATTCAGATTTCTTCTTAGTTGAGTTAAGTTTTATTTTATGTTCCTTAAACCTTTATGAGTATCATTATAATTTTTTTTTTATAGATGACAGAAGTGATTTTCCTCTAAACACAATTTCCCACTCATTGCTCCAGTTTCAACACCCCTCCCCCCCTTTTACCAAAGAAACTACTAACTCCTTAATTCCATAAGTCTTTTAAGGGGGCCCAAGCCTCTATAACGTGCCTTAAGTCCATTGGACTCTGTTCCATCCTCCAGTGCTAGAGGCATCTAGTGGTCCCTGCTCCTAACATATCTATGGAATCTCTTTCCTACGACCTTTAGGCAGGAGCTGCATAATGGTTATATAACTGTTTTACTTACCATTACTAATATTATTGTATTATTTAAAAAACACAATGCTTGGAATATTGTGCTAATGCTATTTGTGTCCCATTTAATGCTACTGCTGTTTGTCAAGCAAGATATATCTCTTATTGTGGTGGCTATTGTACTCCATATGGATTGTGAATAAAAAGAGAATTATAAAAAAAAAAAAAATGTAATAAATTAAATAGAGTATGTTATTTGCTACATGAAAGTAAATGAATTAACTATTTAATACCCAAATTGAGTATAAATGGTTTTATGTTGATGTATTTTGTCTCTTCCAGAAGCCTCTAGCCACTGATGAAATGTAGGCTTATCCACTGCTTTCAAATAACACAGAAAGTTTTAATGGGTCATATTATTCCTACAGTCAGGAAGGGAGGTGAGTCATTGGCATCTACCATTTAACATGATAAAGATTACTATAGAAGTTTTAAATACCTTTATTTTAGAAATATGTGATAAAACTATATTTACTGTCTGTGGGCATGATGCTCAAAATCAGACATGCGTTTTTGCTTTTATACTAACACTTTATATTATCTAATTGTGATATGTTTATACGCTAGTTATGAATCGCTTGCTTCAATAAATATTATACTTATATTTTTTAATCAAAAAGTGCTTTGTAGGGGAGGGTTTAAACTTTTATGGCAAGTTTTATATTAAAGTATCACAGATTGTTTGTAATAAGGATTGAAAGACATACAATTGTTCCATGGCGATGGTTTTTTCCAGATTTATTTTGTTGTTGTTTTTTGCTGATATAACTACATTATTATTATTGGCATTTATATAGCGCCAACTTATTTTGCCGCGCTTTGCAATATTATGAAGGGGAAAATGTAACAATAAATGAAACAAACAAAAAATATTACAGGAACAATAGGTTGAAGAGGACCCTGCTTAAACGAGCTTACAATCTAGCAGTTTAACTGCACCGATGATTTTATATAACAAATATGTGGCAAATTTGGTAGTTTTCAGACATCAACACAACGACAAGGGAGCAGAACTACAAGATATGAGAATATCAGCTGCATAATGAACTGCAGGGCCCATGACCAGGTGCTACATCAGACAGCACTCAGTCACTGGTTCAATGTACCAGATAGACCATATAATTACACCTAACAATGGGCTCAGCACACTGGACAATTACAGTCAGTTGCTATTAAGTATATGTATTATATCTTTGTTATTGCATGTTTGCATAAATAACTAATATACAGTGCCTTTACTAGAACGTACATTTTTATTAATAATTATGTTTATTAATATTATGTTTATACAAAACTTGAGATGGAGAGTGAGGGAGGAACTTAGAGGCGTCTATAGATGATCTGCAATGAGCAATGTGTAAATCATTCATAGAATAAAGCAAAGATCATCGCCTTCATTCTTTATTGTCGAAATAGCTTGTGCATCTTTTATTCTATTTTAAGTTTTTTACTTGATTTACTGTTATGTTAGTCACAGTGTTATTTTGTTCAGTTGATGACAGTGATGGTTTATTAATCCCAATATGTGTGATCAGTTATTATGCCTGATATGATCAGTGGATGACAGTGATCATTTATTAATCGAAAATATGTGTGATCAATTTTTATTATTGATGTGATTCGTGATCAAAACTTAATAAAAAGGTCACATTTTACAGATGTCAAGATATCCCTCAATCAGCACTGAATAGCACCCCAAAGCTGCCCCCATGCAGTGCACCTAGAAAGTTATACCCTGGATGCCAGTACTTACCCTCCTGGTACCAAGAAATAGAATCCCTGTAGCCAATAGCAACTGGAGCTCCAGAGATATTCTGTCAGCGTTCTGAAATCAGAATCTAGCTACATGATTGCTGTCTCTCCCCCATTCTCTTTGTATCTGTGCTCCAGACAGCTTTATCTAGTGGAGTAGCAAAGTCCACAATATCTTATACTTATCCATTTCTGATACAGAGTTAGCTCTCCCCCTCCCCACACAAACCGCTGGAAATTGTATATCACAGAGGAGCTCGTGAAAGTAAAATTGATTTGACGTTATCGATTTTCATGAGATTTTATTTTCTTAGATTGACAAGAAATTCCCCACGAAGAGAAACCTAGCCTGACACCCATTATCGCAGTACAGAGAAAACAGAACTGATTTAGTACAACACATTATCCAGACTGCCGGGCTCGGGGAGACTTGTAA